TTAATAATTAATTGTATTCATTATTACAGTTGTTGACAAATATATTTACAATGACATTATTGTTTGACATAAACAATTCAATGTTTATACACTCCTTCCAAATGCAAAACAAATAAAGAAGGCTATTACCATATTTTTATGGAGTGATGTGTTAATAAGAACTAGGTACATTGTCTACTGTTGATAAATGGTAGGTCTGACTCTTTTTCCTCTAATAAATATGGTGTACTGATCTCCCTTTGGTGCTATCGTATCTATTTTATGTTTAACAGATCCCTATATACATATTTATATATCACAACAAGGTCTGGTTTGCGATAAACTACGAGGTTTTCTAGTGACCTCTGTAAAACTGAAGCTTGCAGAACAGTGCGTCAGAATAGAACATGTGGACAAGGTGTTGTACTTTCTGTAGATGTCCACAAGGGGGCGCGGTTTCACGCCGGTTGACGCGCTGCCGTGGAAACTCACCTCGGGAGAGCGTCACCACTTCCTGGAGCTCACGTTGTTGGTGACATCAGAGGCGCAGCTCTGGGAAAATTCTGCTCCTGTCTGTAGAGTGTGTGGAGACAAGAGAAGCACAGGGCGAAGAAAACTTGAGTCTGAAACACGTCGCCGTTGTATTGCATCTGAACAGGACGCTCAACTCTGGAGTATGCACCTGGGGGAAGAGAAGATATTAGCGCCTGGAGACAGCTTGTATTTGTAATTTATGCGCTTCAGTGCAAAGGGCAGTTTCCGGGTATCAGCCCTCTGTTTTGGGAACATTTGCTGTGCATCTTTTGGGATTTCTCCGCACCTCCTGTCTTTTATTTGTGATAACTTACATTCCATAGTAAATTAATCTACAAAAATCCTGCAGCCGCAACTAGAACATGGAGTCACACAGATAACAAGGTAAGAGTCCAGTATAGATTTATTTTTCTCCTTTTGTTTGGTGCCAGTGAGATTGTTGATTTTTCCTGTTTTAACAACTGAAACGTAGCTCTAATATACACAGGCATGTGCAGTATGTTGGCTGATAGCACCCTCACTCACCTTGCAAATGAAAACTGTTATTTACCTCCAAATGGATTTCAGTGCAAATGTTCTGTGCAGGTCCATAATAGATCTCTACAGACACAATAGCTCATCTTTTGTTGTAGGAAGATATGTTTTGTTTAAAAGTCCTTATTTGATGTAAGTTGCAGTTGTTTTTTTTTTTTTTTTTTGATGGTTAGTTCCGATGCAAAAGACTCTTCTCACTTGGTTTTAACAAGGATAAATGGCATATTTTGACTGTCTGGAGATGTGAGTGGTTTCTGGAAAGTCATGGTCATTCTCTGTCTGTAGACTCATTCATTCATTTTGTCCTTTTTTCTCTGCTGTCAGTTTTCCAGACCTCTGTGAGTCACACTGGTCAGTTAAAACCTGTGTTTTCCTTGAAAGGAGAAATCCTCAGCACTTTTCTTGAAGAGTCCTTCACATACATCATGTTTTTCCACCCATCTGCCTTCCTGGTCGCTGCTTCTTTCTATTTATGCATTTGCAAATTGTTGTAGGTCCATGCTTAGGCCATTATAGTGTAAGAGTGATGAAGATGCTGGTGAGCTTCAACCAGACCTCCGAGACAGTCCACCAGATTAGATTTACATTAGGCCACCATGTTCATCAAATCAAATCAGTATGAACTGCACTCACAGGAGCCAGAGCAACAAAGTGATGGGTGAGTTTATCAGCACCTTGGCGTTGCCTCAGGGGCTCTGAAATAGCCTCAAAAGGAGTGTCAAACTGTCAAATGGAAACCACCCACAGATATGGCTGGTGTGACCTTAGCAAAACAATTAATTTTGCTGATAAAGGGATTGGATCCCATAGTAGAAGTGCAAGCCAGAGACAAGCGACAGGTTGCAAATTGTGTTTTGATGGGGCCAATGAAAAGCGGGGTCTGAAACAAGTTCAGCACTCGACTTTCTAGAAGTTCCACAGGTGAAGCAGATGTTTCAGGTTTTTCATTTCATTCTAATAACAGATTTGAGGAGACCTTTTCTCCCTCACACTGCCCACTCAGTGAGGAGTGTGAAGTCATCTTCTGCTGAATTCACAGAAGGCTGATGACTTGCCAGACGCTCAACCACCACTGGGCTGGGGGTCAAAGGTTGCAGTGACTCTTACACTGTTTTGGAAATTGGTTATCTTCCCTTGCAGACTTGTTTTAGATGTTCCCTGGTTACACTAGAATGCAAAACAAATTAGTGGGAGAAAGTGACATATCTTTTTAAGTAGCGTGACAGTATAATTAGGGTTGGGGTTGTGGAGCTTGAAAGTGATCGCCTTTATTATATCTTCTCTTTGCTTGGGTGAGGAAAGGATTCAGGGGCGCTTTGTAGTAAGGTCAGAGTGAGGGACCATCTCATTTATACATGGTATGATAAGTCAAGATTGGAGAATAGTGCATGAAATCAGTACATGTGCATTTTAGGTTGGATAAAATAGTGTTGCTCATTGTGGAGCCCTGAAGATTCATGATGGCATGGCCTGATAACCTCTCATTGGAGCCAAATAATGGATAAACATGATTTAAGATGAACACTGAGCCTCACTGGGAATGCTCATCCAGGCTTTGGCACATTTCTGTGTATATTATCAACTGGGAGATGTAGGACAGTGTTTTTGGAGCATGAAAGTTGGACATCCAGGCCTCTGGATTTATAATGCTTTTCCCATCCTGATTTCTTTTGACTGCTACAATGTAAGTCAGGTTTATGTAGGCAAAATGGTGTTCTCTGAACACAATTTATAATAAGTCTTTTGACCCACACCAGATGTTATATTATGTTGTAGGGATTCTTTGTAGAGCTCTGAGATAACATTGTGTTGAGGCATAATGCTACAGATGAGGACAAAAGCATGTAAAAGAGCACAGTTAACTTCATCATTTGGACACAATAATGAAGATGTTTGGCACCACCACCATGATGCTAAAGCTACCTGATTGACCAAACTGGTAAAGAAAGGCCTGGAGGTGGGCAAACCATTGTAACAGAGCTTACATGCTCTACAGAGATTACAGAACCAGGCAGGGAGGCTTCTATCCCTGCAGCATTCAGACCCTTATTAGCTGGGAAGATAGCCGCATTTGTAAAAGACTTTAAAACGCCTCTCAGGGTTGGCTGGATTGTACAGAAGACTCAGAGCATGAAAGTAGGAAAATTATTGTCTTTTCTGTTTGAACAAAAAAAATATTTTGGCTTGATTGCCAGGCACTCTGGCAAAAACCCGATACTGGCTGCTTGACTTCTAGCATATCTGCAGCAAAGCAAAATAGTTGTAGAAACATGCTTCTCAGCTGCAGAGTCTGGGAGACGGGTCAGGACAGAGAGAACAATGACCTGAGGGATTTCAGATACATCCTTGTAGGAAATATGCACAACCACAGAACTGGGCAAGGATTCATCTCTCTGCTTAGCGAAGCCATAGAAGCTCAGCCAGTCCCAGAGAGGAACCCTGTGAAAATGATTTGCATTCACCAAATGGTCACAGTTGTTTAGGACACGTCCCAAACAATGAGGCAGCGCTTGAGCTTGTTTACAGAAGGATTGACGCTGCACAAATACAGGTGTGCACAGTAAGATGACGTGAAGTGGTAACTGCTGAGAGCGCGGTTTCAATATGATGCAGGATTTAGGGTCTGCTTAGATATGTGAGATTTCAGCTGTTTTGTTTTCAGCCAAAGTTTAGGACTTGTTAACTGTTTAAAGGTGGAAAATACAACTTTGATAGAATATAAATTAGGCCATCAGCAGAGGAAAAGATGGAAAATGGAAGGTCCCACTGACTGAGGTCAGTCTGGGTTGCCTTTCTTTATCTGTGAAAGTCCAGTAAGGATCGCCCCCTCCTCTCCAGAAACAAGAGGAAGTTGTCGTGATTGAGCTTTGTCTGCACGGCTTGTCTGACTGTAAGGACAATGCCACCAATGGCAACAGGGCCTGAGGCTGCAAGAACAGCCGGATAGACAACGCAGAGTCAGACTAGGTCAAACAATAACAATGAGGAGGTTTGTGTACAAAGTTAAGTAAAATACCCCAACAGTTCAGACATCTTTGTTGTATGTGTATGCAAATATAGTTACATAAATAAAGAAGTGTGGCCAGTTTGCAGTATGCTGCACTGATACTAAATGAAATCAACAGGGGGCCACTCTTGAAATTAAATCATGAAATTGCTTTTGGGTTTTTCACTGTCACACTCACGCCCCTCTTGACTATCAAAAGCCCTGAACCAAGACATTTTATGCATGAACAGCTTGGTGGCAGATATGCTTTCTTGCCTCTTCCTGAGCCACAGCTGTTTGATGTTCCTGCTTGTGAAATGGGCTTAAGTCTATGAGCTGTGTCTCAGTGGCTGCGTATGGGTGGACAAACACACCGAATGAATGTGCTTAAAACGGTATGTCTCAGCACAATGAGAAAGACGGCTTATTTTACAGGTTGTGCTTAGATTCCTCTTGAGAGGAGAATACAGTTCTAGAGATCCAGGGAGCAGATGTACAGTACTATGGACAGCAGGAGAATCACTACTTCATTTGGCTATTTTTAGCCTGTGGTGTGTGGCTACTGTGAATGGATGGCAGATCTGTTCATCTCTGAGCTAACAGGGCCATCAGCTCCTGAGGTGGGTGCGTTCACACCACAGTGTGATCGGAACCGGTGGACACGTTTAACGTTTAACATACAGTAGTACATCCAGCTCCACATGTCCCTTTGTGACCTGATTATTCCAGCTATTTACTACTATAACTACCATGCCTGAATGGTTCAGAACTGAAGTGATGGCAGCATTGCTTAAACTTAGAATCATTTCAATCTTTTATTAAGCAAACATGCTAAATGTTCACTGCTTCTGAATTATAAAGTGAACATTTGCTTGTTTTCTCTGTTTCATACCATTATAAACTGAACATATGTGGCCTGAATATTGCATGTTTTCTACAAAATCCTTTTATAAAGTCTCCACAAAACAAGTACACCTCAGCAAGATTAGTGCTAAATGTCAATGTAAGCCTGCTAACATGTTGATGTTAAGTAGGCATTGTGTTGGCCTTATTCACGATGTTAATTCAGCATATTAGCTACAGTAGATTATTGATAGTTAGCCCTTCGCACAAAGTACAGCTGAGGCCGATAGTAATGCCATTAGGATATATCATCTGGGAGTCACGAACGCCTGTACCAAATGTTGTGACCATTCTCTGAACAGATGGGGAGACATTTTACTGGATATGTGAAAACTCTTGACTTGTTGGCTGTGCTATATGAAACAGTATTAGATCACCAGAGTTATTATTAAGTGAGTAATCATTGCTCTTGGCTTTTGATAATGTCTTTTTCTATATTTCCCGACAGTCAGAAACTTTATTGATAATAAGGATAATTACAGAGAGTTACTGGTCCTCCAGAGAGCACCCATTTACAGTGGTAACAAAATGTATGTGTGTGTCAATAATGGTTTTATATCAGAAGGAAAATTCCTTTGTTTGAAATAAACCACAGATTTAGTGCTAGATGACAAGACACCTCTGGATGTGCTGTAGAAAGGAAAGCTTAGTGTCCCAGGAAGAACTTGGATCTTGTCCCAGCAATAATTCATGTGAGATGAAGCAAGAGGAGCAAAGGTTATGATAAACAGGTGCTAAAACCTCACATGAAGTGACATTCTTCTGCCCACACACTCCTGCCACCACCCAGAGGCCCTCCAAGCATGTCTCTACATAGACACCTTCAACCTACTCAGTATGCAGGGGGGCCTACTGTATTGTCTTACTTCCCAGAATCAGCCTACATAACCTTCTGACTCATGTGGGGTGGCCCCAGCACCGTCTTGGCGATCTTTCAGCGGGCAGGACACCCTGACGCTGACCTTTTAATAAGAGTAAGTCACCTAAATATCCCTGTCTCACTAATCACCCTTCACTTCCTGCTCGTGGTGCAGCTCAGACAGCCTGTTAGTATTGTGACCTGCACACTCTCTCTTCATGATGACAGGCCTGTGATACATGGATTTGATCTCATCAACGGTGCAGATTTGTGTTAACTGTTTTATGTAACAAAATAGATAATATTTAAGAACCTACTGTAATGTTTTTCTGCCTAGCTATTTTACTAGGCAGTCTGATACTGACACCCATGTTTCCTTGTAGCCTGAGGAAGCTAATGTAAAAACAGCACAGTGAAAATAATATTGTTTCTTCTTTATCATTCGGTGAGTGTCATTAACAGTAAATAACCTGCTGATGTTTCATATGCATAATGGATTTGGTGTTACCTGAAGGCACTGACCAGTTTGTCCTAGCATCTAACTCTTGGGAAGAAAGTAAATGAGCAAATTCCCAAAAATGTCTGACCACTAACTAAAACGTGCAAACACAGTTCTGTAAACTTGACAGTCCTGAAGTTGCCACTGATCGTCATAGATGTGCAAGTTTTCATTCAGTTTAACCAGAAAAGAAGCACTTTCAGCACTGTTTGAATGAAATTGTGTACCCTTGTGGCCTGTGATCAGCCGGTGTGTTCTGAACCTTCCCATGCCGTCAATCACTGTAGTGACTTGACCCTGCCGATTAATCTCTCATAGCTGTATTGTCCCCTCCACCGACTGACCTGTCTGGGTTTCCTTATGGATTTTGATTTGAAATGATTTAGTTTGATGCAGAAAAGCTGTGCCTGGAGAACGGAATCCCACTGATCCATAGAGGCATGTTGCAAAGTTTAGAAATCAACCTCCACGAGCATGATGTCAGCTGTGAGGTCATACTGCTCAGCCCAGCAGGCAGCTGCAGAGCTGGCCTTCCACTTCTCTGGCTTGACAAGGCGGGAGTTTCTACTGGAGACCTACAGACACAGTTTACTTGGTTAGAGAATGATGTAACACAGCTGAAAGAGGTTAGTGTGTGTGCGCATGCATATACGTGCTTTCCTGCATAGACTTGGCTCTGATTTTTGTTCAGTCATCCCAAAAAAACACAATAATTCTGTGTTTGTCAAGGAGCACAGTTCTGCGTTGTCTGGCTCAGACAATTCCCTGCAGCCCTTGTCTGAAATCCCATCTTCTGCCGTCCTTTTTTAAATGACCTTACTATGCCGTTTCAGCACAGTCCTCATATATTAACAAAGAAGAGGCCCTTGCCAGTGAAACTTTGACCCGACGGTGCAGTGCATCACAGTTTTTGAAGCATTTCTGGATGTGTGCAGCATTTGTGGGTTTGTCTTATGAATTTCCTCACAAATGATCTAGTAGAGAGGCAGGCGGTCATCTCAGGGAGGACGTGTGGCAGCACAGCAACCAGAGCGAGTGTCGATTAGCATTTGATCTTCTACAATCAGGGCTGTAACATTGCCCGCCTGCCAAGAAGTATGTGGAGAACTGGGCTGGTGATCAGTGAGCACCACGAGCCTGGCATCACGCTGGGCTGAGGGGCAAAGCAGACGGGCCATCTGGTGACGGGCTGGCACAGGACAGCGGCTGTTCTCTTCCAGTATGCACATGTTATGTGTTTGTGTGTGTGTAGCGTCATCAGCAGACAGAGTGACGTGGCATTAGGAGACCACCTGTCTCATGGCTGTTCTTCATCTCTTTCATGTGCAGTCAGCAGCACCATACTGGCACAGCCTGATACAGAGCTTTGTTGTGGCACATCATACCCCCTCCCTCTGTAATTCACTCTGTGCTACCTCATATTAATTGTAGTAAATTGATTGTATGTGTCTAGTGCACTGTGCTGTTGTCCTAGCATACGTTTGTGCACATATATTGCTCATATTGTCAAGGTCAAAGGGTTTATTTGTCATATGCACAGTTGGGAAACATGTTTCCCTGTACAGTGAAATTCTTACTTTGCCGTCCACATGAATGCCACACAATACAAGTGAAATATAAGGTAGATGAGCAATAACACAAATCTAAATAGGCAGTAAAATCACAAATCTAAGGCACTTTAAAGCAGCAAGTGAAGGAAGCAAATAAAAATACAACAAGAACAATATAATGCAGAGAGAATATACTCTATGCTATGTGGAAGCCGTGGAGTGTAAATACTCAGCAGTGAGTGTGCAATATTGTGACATATTTAGAACACCCTGTTCTCAGGAAGTGGTCATCCTTGAAACATTTTTGCTTCATATTTATACTTTTAGTTTAGTTTTAGTTTTCCAGTCCAAGCCTTTGTGATTTGTGCCACTGTGTACAGTGTACTGCATGTACCCATGTGCAGACTCTGCTGGCACCCTCTGTCTCTGCCCTTCAGGCTGTAAATTGCTCTAGTGGCTGTCTTTGTTGCTTTTAGGAAAAGTTTTCTGGCTGACACAAAGAGCAACTCTTTGTGTCTCTGCAGGCCGGCTGAATGTTTGAGGTAAAAGACTCATACTGTACACAGTGGTACAGACTTAAAAAATACATGCCACAAGGACACTGGAGATGGCCAAACCAGAAGTAAACAATGTTTCAAAAAAAAAGATAAGAAAAGAAAATGCTCCCATGCTTTACTGAATACACTCAGGGGTTTTGCCCATACAACCTGGTAGCTCATGGTGTAGATCACTTTGAATAGGAGATGCTGTACAGGTGGCATGAGGCAATAGTTGATTTGTTAACTTTTCTGTGCATGTGCTTCTTGTACTTTACATTTTAGTTTTTACCTTTAAGTGTCATATGTTTTAATGCTTCTGTTCTGCAAAATATAGACAGGCTAGTTTTAAATGTGTCTTTAATTTCACTCTATGTAGTACTGAAAGTTCCTTTTTTTGGTTGGTGGATGGATTTTATTCTGAAAAATTGTCATCAGTGGAACAAAAAACTGTCACACTCTTTTCTGTTTTATTCTATCATGGCATGGGACAACCTCTTTTTTTTTAACTTTGTGCTCACCAAATCAAAGAATAAAGAAAGCTATAGCTTTGTCTTTGGAATTCTCATGGTCTTTACCTAAAGCAGGCTGTTGGGCAAATACCCATGCCTACCTGGCTGCTGAGGTGTAAAGGGCTTTAGGCCCATTCATCATTAACCACAGAGGAATTCCTCAGTTGCTACCTGTGGTCCTCAGAGCGGCAATAAGACCAGGGCAATCACAGGATTTACGTGGATTGCGTTACCGGCATCTAATGCAACTCTTGGCTGTCATATTTTTATTTGCCTGCCAGGAATTTTCATAAAAGGATATGTCAACATCAGGAAGCCATGCTCATTAAATAAAGATGACTAAAAACAAACTTAAGGACACTAATGAGAGGAAAAAAGCTTTGTGTTGAAACTGCCACCTGCATCCTGTTTTGTCAGTGTTTCTGTTCAATCACAGAAATATTATTAAATGAAATATTAAGGATAGTTATGCTGTTCTTGGATGTTGAAACTGTGTTGTTTTTGTTTTTGTTTTCTTTTGCTGTCAGGGTGAAGTCTTTGCTGAAGAGAAGTTGAGCTCTGTGCTCAGTTTCATCAGAGTCACTTCCTGATGATGACAGTAAACATGGGTGAGTAATATTAGGAAGCACATTGCTGCACAGTATATAATTAGAGAAAAGTGCACAATGACTGAGAAACGCACATCTCACACTTCCTCAGAGCAGTAGAGAGAAAGTTAACACATGTACATAATAGGAAAAGCAGTGAGAAAGCTGCTAATAGCTCCAGATAGCCAATTTTTATACACTGGTTTTGTACTATTTACATTGTTGTTTGTAGATTTTTTTTTTTTACTTTATTCATATATTGATACTTTATTTTGCACATGAGAAGGTTTGTGCATGTGCAGAATGACAAATGACAAATATACAAAGTGACAAACCCAAATCAGGGATTGGAGAAGCATAACAAATGCAAATGCTGGCATAATTTGGGTCCACTTACGCCTTTACAGTTAAGGGTGCCTGAAAAGTAATACAAGTTGTTCTGAGTGATCACCTTTTGTCTTATGATGAAACATTTCTGTCCTGACAGGAGTCATCTCTTGGGCACGAGGGGTCAGTGAATGGTTTGATGAGGATGAAAATGATGTAAATGATATTTTGGAAGAATGGTGTTCATAGTTCATAGTTGTAAATGGTGTTTGTATTTCCCTTGAACATTCAAAGTACACACAATTCCGGTGTAGCATGTTTATTTATATTCACACCTACCGGGCCTGTGAACACTCATGTGCAAAAATAGTCAAATACCCCTACCTTCCCAGATACACACACAGCGTTTGTCCCCCACACAATACCAGTCAAACAATAAACAGTCTCCTGTGGTATATTTGCATGTGCACAGTACCTCGAGGCCTCAAGGAGCTACAGTACGTTTCTCAAACTGTTGCTGACTGACGGACATCTGTAAACAAAACTCAATATCTTTTGCCCATTCTTTTCATATATAACCAAGCACAATGTAGCCTACTATACTTCACACAGTCATGGCAAAAAATGTTGGCACGCCTGCATTTTTGCACCACTTCTCCCAGAAAACTGTTGCAATCACAAATTCTTTGGTATTCTCATGTTTATTTCTTTTGTTTGCATTCGAGCAACAAAAAAGCAGAGAAAAAAGCCAAATCTGATTCATTCCACACAGGCCTCCACAAATGGACTGGACAGAATTACTGACACGTTTTCAAAATAGTCAAAAATAGTTGTATTTCAAGCATGTAATGCTCCTTTAATCTATAATAAAACTCACCTGTAGCAATCAACAGGTGGCGCCAATACAGAAATCACACTTGCAACCAGTAAAAATGGAGAAAAGTTGACTCAACCTTTGTGTCGTGTGGACGACACTGAGCATGGAGAAAAGAAAGAAGAGCAAAGAAGTGTCTGAGGATTTGAGAACCACAATGGTGGAAAATCCTGGACAATCTCAAGGCTACAAGTCCGTCTCCAGAGATCTGTCTGTTCCTGTGACCACTGTGCACAACATTGTCAAGAAGTTTACAGGCCATGACGCTGTAGCAAATCTCCCTGAATGTGGACAAAAGAGAAAAAGAGATGACAGGTTGCAACGAATGGTGGATAAAGAACCTCAATCAGCTTCCAAACAAATTCAAGCTGACCTGAAGGCACAGCGTGCAACAGTGTTGGCTCACACTATCCCTCACTGTCTGAATGACAAGGGGCGTTATGTAGGAGACCCAGGGGGACCCCACTGCTGACACAAAAACATAAACAAAGCCAGACTGGACGTTGCCAAAACTTACCTGACGAAGCCACAATCCTTCTGGAAGAACGTCCTGTGGACAGATGAGACTAAAATAGAGCTTTATGGTGGAAGTGTGAGGCCTTCAAAGAAATGAACTCGGTCCCTACAGTCAAACACGATGAAATGGGTTCAGCAATGAGTCCAGATCTCAAAACAGCAGTTGGGAGAAGGAACCCTTCAAATCTGAAAGATGTGGAGCAGTTGGCAAAAGAAGTAGTCCAAAATTCCAGTAGAGAGGTGGAAGAAACTCACTGATGGTTACAGGAAGTGATTTCAGTTATTTTGTACAAAGGGTCTGCTACCAAATATTAAGTTGAGGGTGTAGAATACCAAAGAATTTGTGATTGCAACAATTTACTGGGAGAAGTGGCGCGTTATCTGACAAATGCAGGGGTGCCCATGTTTTGGTGTAATGGGAAATTTATATCAGCACCCTTTTGGTCAGGACTTTAAGTGCCGATTTATTTTTGACTTCTTTACAGTGTTATCCACACACAGGCTGCCTATCTAACTGTCTATCTGTCCATCTATGTATTTATTTTATATTTATTTTTTTACAGATGACGGTCTTCAAAATGGACCCGGACAGCACAGAAACTTGCAAGGTAAACACTATAATTCTGACCTTTTTTCATAAACTTTTAATTGAATAAATTGATGCACTTATGAAGAAAATGCATAGGAGATAAATATGGCCCAGAACGGAAAAGAAGAAAGATGCTGGGAGAGTTATTGTCACTGACTGGCGCTAGCATGTTCCCAGTCCTCTTTATGTTACCAAGTGTCTAATGCTGTTTGTTAGGAATGGTGGATAAACTGTGCAGCAGTGATGTCCCCGGCTTGGCGTGAATAAGATGCACAACCAAAGTTAGCTATAGAAAGCACTGTGTGTGTCTCATTTTTACACAAAATAAACAATTTGATTCTTAATATTGTATGGTTTATTATTTCACAGAATTAGGGGTTTGATTAACTTTTTACATGCATTTCAAATGTGCCACCCCTCTCTGAGTTTGTGCCCCAGCCTGGTCACCCTCTCCCAAACTTCCTAGATCTACATCTGCTCTCTTCAAGAGCTAGTGGTAGCCTAAAAAGGAGCTGTTGTTCTTAGTGAAAGGAAAGATTCAGTTTAGACTTTTACACACCTATTAGATGTTAAATTTGCATAGTTTCAACAAAGAGCAAACTGCGTAAGAGTTTATAGAGTTTCCCTTGCTTTAGTGTAGGTGGTGTGAGGGTATCTTAGTGTGTGTAAGTTGTGCGTCAGAGCTCAGCCAGTGCTGTTGCTGCTGTTGTTGGAGAGTGAGGACACATTTGGCTCCAGCTGCTAATCCTGCCGGATGCCTTTGCCATGATGTTTCTCTCGGCACCAGGAAATCCCCTCAGTCTTCATTCAGGCAGCCTGCCTCACGCACACACAGTTTCTGCCACACTGGCCCTTACACACACTTTGTTAGATTGCAAGTTGCAATCTTTTATTCCCATTTCTTTGGCTCCAAACACTTTTAGCTGTTCTGGTATCTGAGAACTTGCAATTACCTGCTCAAGCAGTAGTTACAATGCCAGGAGAAAGACTCATTTTATGCATGTAAACTATCTTGGAGTGGATTACCTAATTCATTTAACCTGCTGCTACATTCAGTGTTTTCAGCTTTAGCCTGAGGGGGAAAAAAAGAAAGGTGTAGAGTGATGATGTAATTGTCAGCAAGCAGCTTCCATTGTGTAATGCTTCTTGCTCTACTTAGCTTCTTGGAATCCCCCCTTTTCTTATCCTGGCCACATTTGACCCAATATACAATAAAAAGCACAGAATATGGCCTACAGGTAAACCACAGGTTATCACCGTGCTGAGTCATGTTGACGGGGGCCCCTAAAGTTCCTGTCGTGGGTTTGTGAGGCATCTTCTGGCAGTGATGTGCAGTTGGTGTATGAGCTGGTTGCCTTCCGCTGTGCTGGTGGTTAGCCTCGGCTGGCCTTGGTCTGACGCAGTGACTCCAGACCAGGCCTGAATGATGTAATAACTTCATTTTTAGGCAGCCATCATGGCTGGGTCTCTGCACCACCACGCATTTCTCACACTCTCACTGCCCCCTTTTCCAGCCTACCCTCCCACTTTCCCCTCCATAGGTTACAGAACATGCCTCAGACACACACAGATACACACATGTGCAGGCCTCTGTTGTTTGTTTTGTATCCTTGACTGCAAGTGCACAGGGAGGTCTGGCGCTCTGAGCCTGTAGAGGCTGGACTGAAGTGACACATCACCAGAGAGAGACGCCATTATAATGAGAAATAAAGATAGACATAGTGTTTGAAAAAGCTGTTGTTGATTCGTTTTTGCAGAATAATCCATCTTGTCAACTGCATCAAATAAAATTAGGATTAGTTTTAATACTAGGTGTTTGCTGTTTTTCTCCCATATATTGCAGAAGTTGATTAAATTAGTTGACTGACAAAAGATGAGCGATGGAATGTAATTACTCTAACCCAACTACTGTACATACTCTAAGTAGAAATATGACATACCTGTGCCGTACATGAGTATTCCTATTCACACGGAGATATTGTACTTTTTATTCCTTTACTCCATTAGATGTACTTCATACATGTACCTAATAGCTACATTGCAGACTATTGAATAGAAATAATCTAAAATAGCTCAATAGTCTAAAGCAGCAACATGCACTTTAATGCATGAGTAATCCCAGTCCAGTAGTCTAGGCTAAATTCCAACACTCACAAGGACCATTTTCCTATTAGTGCTGACATATTTTTACTTATCCAACATTTGGAGTATTTTATATTCCCGTACTGAAACTGTTAAAGAATCTGAATACAATTGAGGAAATTAAATATTGTTATAAGTTATTTCCCCCATCAACCATCACAAATATTATCAACATAGCCATCATAATTTTTTAACTTATTCCTTTGCTTTTATTTGCCTCTTGGTTATGAAAGCAAATAAAAATCTTCACCTGTTGCTCTGGAAAATTGCAATGCGTTTTATAGATTTATAAAATGAAATTGACAGATCAATCATCATAATTAACAAAACAAAGCTAAATCGTGCATTTTTTGTGTTCTGTATGCAAGAAGAAGAGAGGACTTTTGATTATTGTTGGTGTGGTTACAGTGGCTTTGGAGAAATGCTTGACTGATTCAATCAAAAATCCATTAAAATCCTGATATGAAATAATGTGGTTAGCCCAGCTCCGTTTTCAGTGCGGAGATGGTGACTCAGTTCCTACCAAGCCTGGCCGAGCGGTCACCACTGCTGAAAGCTTATATTATGACCAGCCACATCTGAGAGTTTCTCTTCGATATGGTATGTAACAGCTGTTTGATGAAAGAGCATTGTGTGGCTTTGTGGAGGTATGCGGATTGTTTACACATGTAGGCGTGATTTCACTCCTTTCTCAGTCTTTGCTCTTACACAAGCCAGAGAGGAAAACGGTGGTGTGGCTCATCTTTCTCTCAATGCTACCTTCTTATCATAAACTTGTTGCTACATGAAGAAACACGCTCAATAGGTGCATTCTCAGACTAACGTGTTGGATTTTCTGTAATTAAATTGAAATCTCAGTTATTGTGGTGCTTTTCAATAATAAACCATCCAATATGTTCTCTGGTTTATCATCATTCATATAAAAAGTATCAGGCCTTGTTGTTGGGGGATGGGGTTAGACTGTCAAATGAAAATGGTGAAGTGAGAAGTGGTAACCTGAACTGAGAAATGAATTTTAGTTCTGACACACTATATAAAGAATTATTTCAGAAGCACACCAGACCTGCTCTCACCAGTTGTTGCCTTGTTGTTACTATTTGCACTATTGGCTGTTTTGTGGGTGTAATGTTTCTTATCGTTTTACCTTATTTGACTTCTCTGTTAGTGGAGGGAGTGATCCTCATGTCATTTCTGCTGCTATACTGGGATTGCCAAACAAGATGTATGTCTGTAGTCAGCTGGCCATTTGGTGTGACTAGCTCACCACTTGGACCAGAGCTGAAACATTGTAGTTGCTAAGAAAGGTGGTGGGAGTATCTTACCAGAAAAAAACTATTTTTGAACCTCAGTGCTGATAAAGGTCAAGAGTAACTTCTGACAGGAGTAACTAATGCTAGATTTAAATGGGGTCAGTTCATCCACATTTCAGGACAGACAAACAAAAAAACATCCTAGTGAGCTCTTTTGGTTTTATGTGACCATGTTTTGAGACATCCATCTCTGAGGAATCAGTACAGCTGAATGAAATGCTGATTCCAGTTGAACACTGCTGTTTGTGATGGGCCTTACATTTCTGGATTTATTTGCAGATCTCCATTTAGGTATATAACAGTTGAAATAAGCGAGTTCAGCCTTATTTTCCAGAGCTTGTAGAATGGTATTCTGACACAACAATATGTGGACTGGAGAAGCTGGGATCGAACCGGCGACCCGCTCTACCTTCTGAACTACAGACGCCCCAAAAATATAACAACACTTATCACCAACTGGCAGGAGTTAATTGACTTCTGAAGTTTGATTAGGTTGATTGTCTTCAGTTGGGAGTGTTTGTAGTTATGCCCATATACGTCTTAATTCATATTTGTCCATATTCAAATTTTGGGTCGACTGATCTGATCCACCAGCTTGTTATTGGGACAATATTAATTGATTGTTACACAGCTCAGGGACCAGCCTGATCCATAATTATATACAGTTTCTTCATCAGTGTCATTAGAAAATTCAATATTTCAGTCATCAGTTATTCATTAAGCAGTAGTAGGCTGTTTTTAGTAACACAACAATCTCTGACTTATGTTTACCTTATATAAAAATGAATTCCACACAGCGAGGATGCAGATTTTCAACTGAGCTGAGGTTTCTAATTGGGAAAATATTGCGATAAAAAAAAAAAGAGATAAAAGTTAGATTGGTGCATCTTTAATTTGGGTGGGTAAGTCGTTGTTTGTGTGTGATTTGAACCCAGGGTGAACCCAAAGGACAGACGAGCAGCTGGCCACAAGAGCTGTGCATTGGGAACATGATCAAATGACATCTCAGGCCTCATCATGTTTACAACGAATTTGAAGAATGCAGTCTTTCCTACAGGTGCTGTTTATAGTGCGCGGCACACACCTGGTCTCGTTTGTACTGAATTGTGTGTGTGTGTTTTTTTTTATAAACGGTGCACTCAGAGCTCCTCTGACAGGCAGGCAGAAACTGAGGCCGACGACCTGTTCTTTATGTTATAATCACCACACTCAGATAAATGGTTCTATTAAAAGTCTCTTGATATGATAATGTCTGACATGCTCACCTGCAGATCTGCCCTTTATACACAGGTTTGAGTACTCGTCAGTGTGTGTGGTAGGGGGGCAGAGTGTCAAATGAAAATGGAGAAGTGAGAAGTAGTAACCCGAGCTGAGAAATGAATTGTAGTCTTGACACACACCATATAAAGAGTTATTTCAGAAGCACAGCTAACTGGCTGAATGGACAGAGAGGAGGTAGCTTATGCCACCAAGTGAGTTCATAAAGCTACAGGTCATTGCAAAGTTTAGGTGTATCTGTTTGAGTTCCTTTATTGAATCCAAAAAGAGTGACGATGCATATAATTATTATGTGTCTTCCATCTTTAGATGACGAAGAGGCACTCAACTCCATCATGAAGGACCTGGCAGCCCTGGGTCGCCGCTACACCCAGCACAACAAGCCCAAGCACAGAACCTTACTCTACAAACAGGTAAATGTGGTGTCCAGTTGTACTCAGCTCTAAGGGATAATTTATCTTTTTAATTTAATTTAAGTTATCTTTTCAGACTCAAACACAGACTTAATTTGTAATGACTTGACTACAGCTGGTGTAGACTATTGTATCAATTCCAAATCTGGTCTATTTTTATAGTACTGAAATGGGAGAATTTTATGTATATTATATAGAAAGAATGACGGTTGTTTACTGTCTTCTTATGTCTGTTGCCTAATAAAGGGTCACAATATAGCCAATATAGCAATCTAGGAATTGTCGCCAGTGATAAGGTGACACATAATGAGCAGCTTATCATTCACCTTCATGGTTTTGCTGCACTGGAACCTTCAATTCTTCTAGGAGCTAATCCCTCTATCACCTTGTGCCTCTTTCTGAAGTCATTGCTTCGTGATCGTTCATTCTCTGTGGAATGGTAATTAGCAGATCCTCTTAAAGCCCCCGTATTTATGATGAGACATAAACAAACAGCAAGGAGCAGAGCGAGTTTCCGCTCAGAGTACCGCTGTCCTCTGCGTGGCATGGGTAAACCTCTACTTTTCACCCAATAGCCTGCGCTGATATGATGGCAGTGTAGGTTTATCACCTTGACCTCGTGCAGACTTGCAGGCT